TATCTTTTCTTGAATTATGAATAACATGAATGGATTGATATGTTTAATTACATTATCTCAAAATAAACCTTCATTTCGGTGCAAGATTGAAATTATCTTGAATTCTTCATAACCTCTGAATAGCAGGTGACTCTACGGGTCACGGGTTGTCTAGTATAATCTTATTATACTCATTGCTTTTTCAGACTGGCTATTGTGTATTGTTTTTGAACACTCATAAATGCAATTTTGAATGAATAAATAAATTTATTAAAGAAGAAGTTGTTATTTTTACGATAGATAAGGATATTTTGAATAAATCTATCCTAACTCTAAAACTAGAGGCGATCAGTAATTTTCAACATGATTTTTGTTATCAGCATCTTCAAATTAAAGAGGTGCATGTTTTCTAGTAACAGAAATTGTTTTGTTGTTGCCATTTATAATCTAGGACTGCTGGCCAGAGGAAAGACAACCAGCCGTTAGCACTTACCACCTATGTGGCTAATGTTAACTGAATAGTGGGACTGACTGTCACACTTGTAACACATACACAACTGAAAGTGTGAAGTGTATTCAGTAGCAAAACGCGGCACGACCTCCGGACCTTCTGATCTACAGTCTTGGAATGCTAACTATTAAACCATGCCTAACCAGTTAAATTAGTCAAATTTTAGAGCTAATTTATGAGCTGGTAATTTTTCATTCTTTATCTAGTTAATTTGCCTTTCTATTTATTTCAGTTATTCAGCTATTAGTTGTATCTATTAGACGTACATAATTAATAAATCTCCTTTTGAAACCCAACTAAAAGCTAGAATGAAACTCAAATCCAAACTGTTTTTATACCCATACTTGTTTCGCCTGAATATACAGAATGATTTGTGAATGTAGCATAATTGAGAGGATTAATCCACAGGGTATTATGAACTAGATGTGTTTTCTGTTCCAAAGGCCAGTGAGCAGCACTTCCCTCCATTTGTTAGTGTGACTAAATCCTATTGCGATCTGAGGGGTTAAGGTGTGTGAGTGTACGGGATTATCAGAACTGAATAGGTTCGCGAATTATCACAAGATAAATGAACAAATGTCTTGGTCTCGGAAGTTGTTTATTGAAAAGTACTTTTTTTTTGGGGTTGATCTCTCAGTTGCTTTTCGAAACGGTAAATTATTAAGTAGGAAAACAATTCTCAGAAGACGTGAACTTCATTTGTCACCGACCAGTGAGGCGCAGAGCATGGAGATAATTTAACTTTCTACTGTATTTGTGGAGTATGGAGAAATGACAAATGAGCTCCAAGTAACCTGGAGTCTCTTATAAGAAAGGGTAATCCAGTCAAGTTAAGTTTTTATTGGATTTTCATTAATGGATTGTGTTTACTATCTCATAAATCAAGTGTTTGCTGTAACTGCGTCATGCTTCGTATAATGCTAAACGGTACTAAAATAATAATTTAAATGCCGAAATTGCCCGGTAAATTCAATTTTTTTTGTAAGGCTAAGTTCTTCTTTATAATTTTTTTTTCTGTTTTAAAAACTTATTTTCACGAAAACTCAAAATAAAAACAAAAAACTATACCAACATTGTGCAGAAAGAAGTACGAAGTTTTATGTTAAGTTAGATTAACTTGTGTTCTTGCATACAAAGAATTTACTAAAATAACTCGACAGAGTTAATGCGGTCCTGCGCTTTGTCTGTATTAAACTTGCTTAACTGTTTACTGCCATTTATAGATAAACAACTCTCCCAGGGCTAGGTTGATTTTTAGATACACGAAGACATATATGTGGTGTTGTATAATTACTTGTTTCTTGCTTATTTCTTTTCATATCAACATGAATTGTTAGATATAACTGTCTGAAAGTTTTCACACATGTCGTCTCTAATTGTAAGAATTATTCCTTTTCATATCAACATGAAATTTTTAAATATAATTGTCTTAAAGTTTTCACACATGTTTGTCGTCTCTAATTGTAAGAATTATTCCTTCTAATATCAACATGAATTTTTTTTAGATATAATTGTCTGAAAGTTTCACAGATGTTTGCCGTCTTTAACTGTAAGAATTATTAAGTAACAT